GTCTTCTGCAATCTCATACGGAGGCTGCGAAGCCTCGCTGGTCCAGGGCTAGGCCCTGGGAGGCGCTGGTCTGGCTTGCCCAGGTGGCCCCAGCCTGTTGGGAGGATGAGCAGCGTAGCTGCAGAGAAGAGCTGTGCACGAAGGCCAGGGTGGCCTGTTCGTCCTGCTCTCGCCTGCCACCAGCAGCAGCCCATAGCCTCCCGAGTGGCAGACAGAGTGGTTTCCCTGGCCCGATTCATAGCCCAGACCCCTTCTCATAAACTGAACACGAGGAGCAGTCTGTGGCTTGGGCGGATGCTGAGGACATGAGTCCCCACCTGGGGAGAGCGTCAAGTGTTTGCACAGCACGCACTCTGTTCCCTGCGTGGGCTGGGCCTCTGCACAGCATAATTATGATTTTTTTAAGGTACCCAGAGGCCTTGGTCCTCAGGATCTTTAAAAAAAAAAAAAGAGTTGCGGTTTCTTTTCCAAGCCCTTTGATGAAATGCACTTTTATTCTCTGTTCCTGAAGCTCCAGACGCTGTAGAGCCGAACCAGTTCTCACCACTGGAGGCTGTGACCAGGGAGCCTCCCCACCTGGCGGAGGGTCCAGACTGGACAGTTTCTAAAGTCGCCCCTGTCGCAGTCACTTCAACATTCTGAAAGCCAAACGGCCCCGAACAGCTGAGCAGCCTAACCCGTGGATGGAGAACATGTCCTCCACGCTCTGGTCTCGGGGCTCCGCGAAGTCTGTGTGAAGAAAGGCCCCAGAGAAGGGACGTTTCTCAAGGGCACAGGGCCCAGCTTGTGGCTCATCTGGACCGTCTGCTCTCCTGGTTCACTGTGCAGGGTTTTGAGCTGTAATTGGCCCTAAAAACAATCACATACAGGTAGTCCCCAACCTACAGTGGGGTTCTGTTCCACCATAAGTCGATTCTGATGTAAGTCAAATACCTCTTTTGTTTTTAGTTTTCATAGCCTGTGATACAGCAGTGCTTTGAAGAGTAAATCGTACCATTGAACATCTGTGAGTGAACATCTGAGAATGATAACATCAGCAAATTACTAGCTACAACGTTGTATGTAGTACATATTACTAATGATAGATGTAAAAAAAAAAAAAAAAAAACCCAGATGGTTGTAAGTGCGGTTCATTGTAACTCAGTATGTCTTAAGTCAGGGGACTACCTATTTAATCTATTGCTCTCACCTGGGCTCCTTGCTCCTAGATGACCACTTGTCAGCGTCTAAATTGCCTCTCCCTGGAGACAATGAAATGAGACCGCGAAGCCATGGCTACAAGGAAAGCCCAGAAACCGGGACAGATGTTTTTGAGACAAGACTTTGATGCAGCGAAACAAAGCAGCTTCAATGAGCAAGTGAAGAGCGTTAGCCACTAAGGAAGAGGGATGCCCGTGAAGGAGTCACCGAATATTCTAGAAACTCCTGAAGCTCAGGGCAGGAAGATGTTGGTGGAACACTGTCCCCTGTCAACAGAGACCGCATCAGCCAAGCACAAAGGAAGCGGGGCTTCTCTGCAGAGACAGTCCAAGTCTGCAGGGCCTGGGCCCGTTGAGGCAGATGCCAAAGCGTTTGCTAACTACAGGGAGAGGGAAAGGCCGGACACTGAGGATCTACGGCCCAGAGGGAGAAGCCAAAGCCTGCATCACAGCGGAGCTTCGAGGATGAGGACCCAGCCTCTGGGATGGTGAAGACGGCAGGCGTCAGAGACGATGCAGGGAGGGGCACAGCCAGAGAAACTTGTTTTCCGATCCAAAAAAGAAATGGTGGGTTTCCAGATGGGGAATAGACAGGCAGTTCCCACTGAAGGACACAAGGCAGACAGGAGACACAGAGAAGGGCTGGTTCACAGACGTTGCCCATGAGAGCCACCAGCTGAGAACTCAACCCAAGGGGCCCTGCCCACAGCGCAGATGTGGGAGAGCTGCCTGCTGTCCGTTCAGTGCTCGGGGTCCATGGCAGGGCAAGCAGGGATCAGGCTCGGGGTCCGTGTCAGGGCGAGCAGAGATCAGGCTCGGGGTCCGTGTCAGGGCGAGCAGGGATCAGGCTCGGGGTCCGTGT